GTCTTCACTAATCCTGTAATTCATTGTAAGAATTGACTCTAAAATATGAACTGAATTTCATTTTCTGTGACTCTTTTCTAGAAATAATTACCAAAAATACACTGTATTTGTCTCTTACCGTAATATTGAACTTAACCTTTTTATATGTGATTCTCTATTATTTATATTAATTTTGTTTAGTTTTTTGTTTTCTCTTTTGTCACAAAATATTTAATTATATTGATTACCACAATATTTACTCAAATTTAGATCAAATAAAGTTTTTGTCAGTCATTCGTATTTCAAATGTGTTATGATTTCTACAGGTTTTTTAATCTAAAAAACTTGGTTTTATTGTCAAAAAGGAATTCAATATAAAATTATTTAAATATATTAAACAGATGTACAGTAAGTATAAATACATTCGTTACGAAAGTCTATAGATTGAACACAAATGTATTGATGACTGCATTGTCTACCGTTTGGTGGATCGGGTGAAGAGTGCGATGTATGCCATGGACCTGAAGACTAGAATGAGCCCTAAAAGTGCTGTAATATCTCGCGTCAAGTTGTCTTCGGAAAAGTGAAGTGTTCTGATGACTGACTTGCCGTCAGGTATGCAGGAAGTGGTGATCGTATGGTTAGTGACTTCTTGAGTGATATTGGTTACAACACTTCCTCTTTGACACAAACACTCGTTATGTAAGAGATATTTAAATCTAAATATTATATTTTAATGTCTAAATAATACACCGAAATGTATTTCAGTATATTGTATAATCTATTATAACTATTGTCATGAAAATATAAGCATTGCAATTTGCAAAGTAAGCTATGAATTTATAATAACAATTGAAATTGAAATACAATTATGATAACCTAAATAATAGTTTGAAAAGTCTCCCACTACAATAATTGACAACTATTTAAAATGTAAATCATTGACTAATTGAATGAATCATCAATTATTAAATACTTTAATGTTTATAAAAACCATTTTCAATCATTTCAATGCAATCAGATGTTAAGTGGTTGTCAGCAATTGATTGGTATGTAACTTATTTGTCCCTACAATTAACCATGATATTTAATTGCAATTTCATTTTAACTCAATTGTGTTAATACCACAGTTTAGACTACATAAGCCGGCAGTTTGTCATTGTAATTCATTTTAAAATCTAGTCGAAATATAGCATGCTACCATTATTAATTTTAATGGTTTTTTGTACCTTATAATAAATTGTATACAGGTATTATTTTACAAAAAAATGTAAATTTTAATGACATATTATTGAAAAAATATTATATAAAGGAAACTAAAACTAGTATAAACTCGAAACATTGAAAAAGTAGAGATTATATAAATTACATTAAATTTCATAATGAGAAAGCATTTTGCGGGCAAATTTCAGATGCCATGCAATGGTTGTAATACCAGTTTTACAATCATTTCAGTTTTGAATCAACATTTTGTTGGCTAAGACTTGTTGTAATGCTTTGTTGTCTACGAGTATTGTATTAATATAATTGATTTGTAAACACAATCTGTCTGTCAATACAAGTGTTGAATATAATTAAGTGAAGTTTATGTGACTTTTATATTGTTTTCCTATTTTTATCAAAATTCGTAATTCATTTTGTATTTGGTGTAGACATCAGTTGTTAATAAAATGATAAAAACAACAAAACTCCTAATATAATAGTGTAGATCAATGTCTGGACTAATTAATTACATTTTCATAGATTATATAATAATAATCATAAAAAGTAATAATTAGATTAGAAGTGGAGTCAAAGTACTGAACAATACTTGTGCTACGATTACATTGAAATCACTTGAACTGAAACCAAACATTCACTTGAATAGCAAACAAATTTTTTGCCCAAAAATTGTCATTTACTTTGAATGTATGTTTAATGAGAGCACCAAATGCTGAATGAAAGCGAATTTTTACACAAAATGTCTTATTTTTTGAGGTCAGTTCACAACGATTATTGGATTCACTTTACTTTTAGATCACTTTTCTTTGCATTACTCTTATAATTACATTTGAATTCATATGAAACACATTTGATCGCAATGTCATTTTGAGCACATACTAGTGACTTGAAAAAATAAATAACTATTCAATAGGAACTCAATGAATGTGACAATTGTTAACATAATAACGCTTCCAATAATTGCATTTGGATTTTCATATAAAAAATTAATTATCGAGTTCTTTGTGAGACTTGATATGCGGTATAAAACATATAATTTAATTAAATATCAAATCTTGGGGTCAATTGATAGGAGGGTATATCATAAGTTAGTTTATAGTGTTTTGTAGATTGCATTTGATTTATGTTCGGAAACTTTTGACAAACAAATTGATTGAAAACTCTTTAGATACAAGATATTAAATTTCATTCGCTCTTCAGTAACTATAAGACAATGAATATTGAATTTAGCAAAGGATTAGATAATCCGAGTTTCGATGAGACATACGATCCGAGAGTTAATAAGAAAACTCTACAAAACTTTCTCATTTCAGAGGCCATCGACAGTAATGCTCAACAAATAAGTGTCGTCTCAAAGAAATCAATTGTCGACAAAATGAGTGTCATCTCAGAGCCGGTGTCCCTCTCGTGGCACGACATCAATGTCTTCACTAAAGTCTCCTTAAAACATAGGAAGAAAACGGATCCAAAGCCTATTCTCAGAAATGGTGAGTCAGTTGTCAGACAAACAAATTCTGTAGTTAAATGATATTTGTTTTTGACGGACAGTTAGTGGTTGTGTTAAATCGGGTCAGCTAATGGCCATAATGGGGGCCAGGTATGTGTTATTTCATGTTGAATGTACCCCTCATTAATTATGTTTGCCTACCATTGCCAACAGTGGGGCCGGGAAGACAACACTAATGAATGTATTGACTCAACGGAATTTGTCGGAAATAGTAGTCGAGGGTTCAGTCAAACTGAACGGTCGGATGGCCAACGCCAACAGCATTACAGCCCTTTCGGCTTATGTGCAGCAAAACGATCTCTTCATCGGTGCCCTCACTGTTAGGGAACACTTGATATTTCAATCCCGCGTTCGTATGGATCAGTATATATCGGATGTCACCAGAAAAGATAGAATACAACAAGTCTTACAAGACGTGAGGAATATTGTGACGACAATTAATTTGTAGACAAATTGTCATAATGTTTGTGTTTAGTTGGGTTTAACTGAATCCTCGAATACAATGATTGGAAAACCAGAAGATGTGAGAGGAATATCTGGTGGCGAGAGAAAGAGATTAGCCTTTGCTTCAGAGGTAAACAGTTTAACAGTGATAATAGACTTTTATTTAATAAACAACTATTTTCAAACTCATTTAGTTATTAACGAACCCATCGATCATGTTTTGCGACGAACCGACCTCTGGTTTGGATTCATTTATGGCGTTAAGTGTTGTGGAAGTGCTCAGAGATTTAGCGGCTTCCGGGCGAACCATAGTCTGCACTATACATCAGCCCTCTTCAGAAGTGTTCACTATATTCAGTCACTTATTACTTATGGCAGAGGGAAGGGTGGCTTATTTGGGAAAATTAGGTAAACAATTATATATTGAAAGATCATTTGAAAAGTAGTAACCATTTGGAGTCTCTATCAGAGAAAGCGATCGAATATTTCTCAACTCTGGGTCTCTTCTGTCCAAATAACTACAATCCCAGCGATTTCTATATCAAACAATTGGCTGTCATTCCCGGCAATGAAACTCAAACTAAGGATAAAATAGAGAGTATATGCGATCGCTTTGCGGACAGCCCTTACGCCAAGGAAGCCATACCACCGCAAAGTTGCGAACAATTTATTTATTCATCCAAAGAAGAGTTGGAGATCCGGCGAAATGTTTATAAGTCGAGTTGGTTTATACAGTTTTGGGCACTACTCTGGAGGTCACACCTGTCTGTGATGAGAGAGCCCAAAGTGACCAGGACTCAAATTTCTCAGACCGTCTTTGTGGCCGTACTGTTGGGCTTCATATACTGGCGCTTAGAGTTGGATCAGTCGGGCATTATTAACATAAACGGCGCGCTATTCCTGTTGACCACAAACCTTAGTTTCCAAAACGCTTACGCAGTCGTCAAAGTATGACAATTACGACCACTTTTCTCATAACTAATTCATAACGATATATGTTTTGTAGACTTTTTGTATAGAATTACCGATATTTCAAAGGGAGCACAACAACGGCATGTATAGAGTCAGTGCATACTTTTTGGCCAAAATGTTGGCAGAGGTCAGTATCAACTGAATATCTGTCATAAATCATATGGAAAGTAACAAAAGTGTTTTATCGATATATCCAGGCCCCCATTTACCTATTGCTACCATTCCTATTCGTGGCTCTGTTCTACTATATGGTGGGTCTCAACAGTGGTTTAATCCAATTCCTCACGTGTGCGCTCATCAGTGTGTTGGTGGCCAACACTGCCTGTAGTTTCGGGTATTTCATCTCATGCCTGACCAGTGATGTGACGATAGCGCTGGCGCTAACGCCGCCAGTAATGGTTGCCTTTCTTATATTCGGCGGATATTTCTTAAATAATGAGTAAATAATAACTCAAAACATAAATTGTGTGCCAATTGTCTAACACACTGTCTATAACTTTGATGAACAGTTCAGTTCCCGTGTACTTCGTGTGGTTTAAATACATCTCGTGGTTCTATTACGGCAACGAAGCCCTCGTCATCAATCAGTGGCATAACATCCATCACATCGACTGTCAGACAAATACCAATATCACTCAAGAAGTCACTAACCATACGATCACCACTTCCTGCATACCTGACGGCAAGTCAGTCATCAGAACACTTCACTTTTCCGAAGACAACTTGACGCGAGATATTACAGCACTTTTAGCACTCATTCTAGTCTTCAGGTCCATGGCATACATCGCACTCTTCACCCGATCCACCAAACGGTAGACAATGCAGTCATCAATACATTTGTGTTCAATCTATAGACTTTCATAACGAATGTATTTATACTTACTGTACATCTGTTTAATATATTTAAATAATTTTATATTGAATTCCTTTTTGACAATAAAACCAAGTTTTTCAGATTCAAAAACCCGTAGAAATCATAACACATTTGAAATACGAATGACTGACAAAAACTTTATTTGATCTAAATTTGAGTAAATATTGTGGGAATCAATATAATTAAATATTTTGTGACAAAAGAGAAAACAAAAAACTAAACAAAATTCATATAAATAATGAGAGCTTAGTAGTCAAAACAAAATAGAGAATCACATATAAAAAGGTTAAGTTAAATATTACGGTAAGAGACAAATACAGTGTATTTTTGGTAATTATTTCTAGAAAAGAGTCACAGAAAATGAAATTCAGTTCATATTTTAGAGTCAATTCTTACAATGAATTACAGGATTAGTGAAGACTTTATATACGAATGAAAATACAAAAAAATATGTTTACTATTCAAGCACTCAATTACTCCATCGATTAAAGCCTCGATTATATCCGCGTCCGCCGCGGAACCCACCTCTAAATCCTCCGCCGCCCCGGTATGAGCCACGGGTGCCGTTATTGTTACCAAATCTCTTGACTCCACCGCTAAATTTGCCACCTTTTATGACATCAATTCATAAATACAATTAAAACTGTGTTTAAAACTGCAAACAAATTGGCAAACCTGGCGGTGCGTATATTTGCCGTGGGTTGGCCGTGCGCTCCTTTTTTGCTTCGGAACCTTCCGGTGCTGTAATGGGCTGTCTCTTAGAAGCCTTAGGCGTAGTGTCGGATTCAGTGGCTGCAGTCGTAGCGACAATTGCTGCGGTCGGTGCTGTACTCGTAGGTGACAGTAGTTTAGGGGGTGCGGCGGCCTTAGAGGCCGGAGGTTTCCACGAGAGCGCAATACTTGACTTAAAACTCGGGGGACTTTTGAACAAATCGCGAATCATTGTATTTATATTATTAGTGGTCTTGAGTGCCATAACTCTCAGCTTATTTTCCTCTGATTTAAGTGCCTCTCCTTTAATTGTCGACAAATGTTTGCGCAGTTTTGTAATAGAGCCTTGAACACCTAATCAGTAATAAATCACATTTAGTTATCAAAATGTATAACTACCGTATTTATAGGGCAAACCTCTGGCCACGTATTGAAGTCTCAGTCGGAAATCCTTGACCCGCTCCGGCTGCGAGTCCGACAAGAATTGTGGGTTAAGTTTACACAACTGTTGGAAAGTATATAATAAGCACTCGATGTGCGAGAATTGAAGGGTCGGCTCATCGTTTCCATTAGTAGTACTCTGTGTCTCCGTTTCCAATATAGGAGGGGTTGGCATGTAATCCAGTAATTTAGTAAACACTCGCGTCAAACATTTCTCGACTTCAATTGTGTCAGTATTTGGTGACAAAAAGGGCGACATTTCGGTCAATAGTTGCAGAAAATCCAATTCAATTCCCGCCTGTTTTGACTCCAAAAGTGTCAATTGAGGCAACACTTGAATGCAAACATATTTTACAAAATCAGTCGACGGAACGAATTGCTATTAAATATAAAACACAACATTAAACACATATCTCACGAAAGACCAAATTATAAATACAGAGAAAAACGGGACGCCGTGTCTGATAGACATCAACAGTCTGTCCACCAAATCCATGTCTGAGGCCTTAAATACAAATACAAATGATATGATTTAGAAAATATGCGCCAAATATAGGGTACGACATGTCTCACATCGAAGGGTGTGTTGAGCTCCGCCTGTTCCCTCACGATCTCCATAAGCGTTTGCTGACCGCTCAGAGACTTCGATATCTTGAGACCACTTAATAGTGTCATAAAAGTGATGAACTCGTCTTTGGTTACGTCAGCCATCACTTTGCGCGTCTCCTCCAAGAAGTATTCCTCCACTTCTTTGGTCAGTATATCGCTGGGAATGAGTTTAAAGCGATCCTTCAAGAACTTTATGGCTCTCTCGCGCACCACTTCTTCGCCGCCGAAGATCTGCGAGAAGAGTCCGCCGAAGAAGCTTTTGGCGTCATATTTGGCTAAAGTGGTCAACGATTGGTTAACAATAGTTAGTTCCGCATTGTCTTCCGTTTGCAACAGTTGTGCCAAAACGTCAGCCATTTTCGAGACATATTCCTTGCGCTCGCGACAGATGTTCGGCAACTCTTTGATGGCATGTCTTCGGATCTATTCATTTAAGACACGAAATGAGAGTTAAAACATAAAATACACACAAAATATGGCAAATAGACGGACATTGATGTCGTCGTCTTCGCAGAGGTCGAGGAGGGCGTCGATGGCTGTGTCGTAATGGTTGGGGAAGTGGACGAAGAACTTGGAGATGAACTGAGAGCACAACTGCTTCTCCTGAGGGCTGCCCTTCACCGCCGATAATATCGACAAATACGAGGACTCGAACTGAAAGGTAATGCAAACGGCAATCAATACGTGAATCAGTGGTTGGTATTCACTATAAAGGGGTTTATTATCACACATTCACTGAAGTGTCAAATTGGGCTCAACTCTCATACAAACCGGCACTCAATGACCGGCCAATCGCCACCAATTCACACACATTTGTGTTCACTCTATACAAACACATGGCATATAAACTCCGTTATAATGAACATAATATGCACTATAAAGTGGACAAAACTAATGTATAATTAGTTTAAATAAAGGGTTCATTGAAAGCAAAACAATAAAAATTAACGATTTTTTTGGTGTCAAAACATGGGATCAATTGAGTGAAAGACTACAGACTTGAGTGATGTTGTCCTTCGCGGCGTCCAATTGGTTGTAATTGTCGTATAGTTGGGATAATTTGTCGGCCATTTTGGTGACAGAGTTGATCCAACGGAAGATTAAATCATTTGTGGATTAGTTAGCGATTTGAAAGCAATTAACAAAACACACAAAACATGCGTTCATTGCATTCATTCAACAAATGACGTCAACGGATGCATTGAAAAGGCATTTGTCGTACGTTTTCATTACATTTCATTAGTTTTTTATAATTTCTATTTAAATCACATTTAATTATAATTACAATAATGTGTTCAACAGTGGAGTTGTCGTCGATTATCACCAAACAGTTGCCACACATTGATAAGCACTTAACCGATTATATCATTGGTATGTCTTGCGGTCGATGGCGGCGGATATGTCTTCGGCGACGTATTGCCCAAAAAAATCACAGATTTTTTGCCCTAATTTTGCGACCAATTAATGGTTTGATTTGTTTTTGTCACCGAAAGGAGTGCTCACTTGCGATACGTTTGAATCCGTGGATGAGATCTGCGAAGCCATCGGCGAAGTATTGCAGTCGTGTTGTGATGACTACGAAAACCTATCCATTGAAGACATTTGCGGTCAACTCTTTGACGCCATCAATGTGTATGTCTCGGATTTAATGATAATGTCTTTGAATGTCCACTAAATTACGACAACTTATGATATCTGATGCCAACTGCAGGAGCGATGGCACCAGTAATGGTGACGCGTCTAAACAGCGTCTCTTAGCTCCGGTCCATTTGGGTTCAATGGTGTCACGACTGGACGACTCGGCCGACGACTGGAAGTCCATCTGGACGTCGGGTAGGGATAAGACATCGACTGTGGACATGAAGAAGTTGTCGAAGGCTGAGGCGAAACTCAAACAAAAGGCCGACAAAAGGGATACCAATCAATCGGATTTCAAACCAGTCATTCAAATGATTAAAGAGGCGACAGGTTTTCAATATTGATGTCTACGTTATGTTGATTTGATTTGAATGTTGTTGTGATTTGTGTCTTAAAGCCAATCAAATGATGTCTAAGAAGGACGTGAAGTCGGAGGCGAGGGGTAGTAATAAGACCAAAGACATAAAGATCGACAACTTTGACGTGGCTTTCGGTGAACACGTTCTCCTCAAATCAGCTCAACTCACACTCGGCTACGGGCGCCGGTATGGTCTGTGCGGTCGCAATGGTATCGGAAAGTCAACGCTACTTCATATGATATCCAACCGATCGCTTGTGATTCCGTCGCACATCTCTATACTACATGTGGAACAGGAGGTGATCGGCGATGAGACCAAAGCCATCGACTCTGTGCTCGAGTGCGATGTCGTCCGAAATGATTTGATTAAAGAGGAGAAGTTGTTGTCAGCGATGACCGATCCAACAGCCGAACAAACGGATCGCTTAAGTGAAGTCTACCAACACTTGGCTGCTATCGAAGCCGATAAGGCACCGGCCAGAGCTTCAATCATACTGTCCGGTACGGCATATATTCAATACATGTTGGCATTCATTATGTTTTATTGCAATTTTATTCATACCTATAATAAGGTCTGGGATTTACACCCGAAATGCAAAATCGTGAGACAAAAGCCTTTTCCGGCGGTTGGAGAATGAGAATAGCTTTAGCTCGGGCTCTGTTCTCGAGGCCAGACCTACTCCTTCTGGACGAACCGACAAACATGTTGGACATGAAAGCCATCATTTGGTTGGAAACATATCTCATCAATGATTGGGAGTCAACACTGTTAGTGGTGTCACACGACCGCACATTCTTGGCGTCTGTGCCCACAGATGTACTGCACTTCCATTCGCAACGTCTTGACAATTATAGAGGAAATTACGAGCAATTCGTTAAATCCATGACTGAAAAGCTCAAGAATCAGTTGAGAGAATACGAGGCACAACAGGCATACAAACAACACGTCCAGGAGTTTATCGATAAGTTTAGATATAACGCCAAAAGGGCTTCACTGGTAAGTCTACCACTGGATCTGTTATCAGTGTTAACTAATCGCTTCACCCGAGAATTTGGTACTAATTTCTATACCATTTATCAAACATTAGGTTCAGAGCAAAATCAAAGCACTGGAACGACTCGAAGAAGTGGAAGCCGTGGAAAGAGAGCCGGAGGTAGTGTTAAGATTCCCAGAGCCGGAGGCGCTGACACCACCGATCCTGCAGTTGGATGAGGCGACCTTTGCCTATGAAAAAGGGAATATTATTCTCAATAAAATCAATTTAAACACAAATCTCGAGTCGAGAATATGTATTGTCGGTGATAACGGATCCGGAAAGACAACACTTTTGAAGCTATTGACCGGTGATTTAGAGCCATCGAGTGGCATACGACACGCGCACAGGAATCTGGCCATTGGTTACTTCAGCCAACACCACGTGGACCAACTGTCCATGAATATGTCTCCCCTACAGTTTATGGCTTCCAAATATCCAGGTATTTATTCAATTACTGTACAGTATTTGCTTTAATGCAAGAATGTTGACTCAAAATGATTTATTCTTTGATTAATAGGAAAGCCTGAGGAGTATTATCGCAGATATTTAGGTGGCTTTGGTATCACCGGTGATCTAAGTCTACAATCTTTGGCTTCACTATCTGGTGGACAAAAATCGAGAGTCGCCTTCGCTATCATGACACTCACCAAGTATTCACGAATGCTTACAATGCGTGTGACCCTCAATATGTTATTTAATACATGTATTTGTCTTTAGCCCGCATTTACTAATACTAGACGAACCGACCAATCATTTAGATGTGGAGACTGTGGAAGCGTTGGCCAAAGCGCTCGACAAATACAAGGGAGGAGTGATTTTGGTGACACACGACCAGCAGCTCATTGAACTCGTGTGCAAAGAGCTCTGGTATTGCAATAACAAGAGTGTCACCTGTCTTGAGGGTGGGTTCGCTCAGTACAGGCATATAATCGAAACCGATTTGGCGAACATTAGATAAGAATTTCCATGTGATTAGCATCTATTAAACATTAAGTTATTTAAGAGTTTTCGATATTTAAGTCCCAAATAATACTTTTTAAAAATACTTTTCCTATTTATCTGAACTGTTTCTCTAATTCTCACAATTTTTTGTTGATTTTTTATAAATGTTTTGAAAAATATACGTTTATTTTTGAGAATAATTTTATAAACTGTATGAATACTATACGATCAGATTTGTAACTAAATATTGCAATCGCGTTACGATTGACTTGAGTTACGATCTGTTTAGCCAAACATTAATTTGTAATTCAAATGAGTCTTCGCATCAAAGTTTGTTCACATTTGTAATCCATATTTCAATTGTAAATGAATGGAGATTATCAGAACATCTCTTAATTAAATCACTTAATTTATAATAAATGAATCAATTCAACGACAAATGCCTTTCAATTTTAATATTTAATTTATTTTAATACTGCGTGAAAAGTGAAAATACTTAATAAATAATGGTATAAACAAAGACCATTATTCAAATTAAATAAAATAAATGACAAATTCAATGATAAAGTGGTAAATATGGAATTATTCACTAATAAATAATTCTTAAGACTAATCATTATGAGAATAATGAATGAAATACATTAATGAGATTTCATAACTAAATAAAAAATAAACCGATAATTAAATCAAATGTAAAATACCCGAAAACTTGACAGATTAGGTATACTATAGGACTGGCAGGAAATGAATATAAATTAACTGCTTATCAAAAATAAATTAAATATCAAAAAACCGCTTTTCGTTTTTGTAAAGTCAATGAATACAGCATTGGATGAGAACGAGTTTAGGGCCAAACGGGCAGTTTGTCTATAGTCTCCTTGTCCTGATCGCTGTCATCCCTGGCCATAATGAGTGTGTGAGCGAAACCGCAGGTCACACGGTGTGTGTAAATGCCTTCCATAGGCTTCTAATTTGTAATTCAAATGAGTCTTCGCATCAAAGTTTGTTCACATTTGTAATCCATATTTCAATTGTAAATGAATGGAGATTATCAGAACATCTCTTAATTAAATCACTTAATTTATAATAAATGAATTAATTCAACGACAAATGCCTTTCAATTTTAATATTTAATTTATTTTAATACTGCGTGAAAAGTGAAAATACTTAATAAATAATGGTATAAACAAAGACCATTATTCAAATTAAATTAAATAAATGACAAATTCAATGATAAAGTGGTAAATATGGAATTATTCACTAATCAATAATTCTTGAGACTAATAATTATGAGAATAATGAATGAAATACATTAATGAGATTTCATAACTAAATAAAAAATAAACCGATAATTAAATCAAATGTAAAAATACCCGAAAACTTGACAGATTAGGTATACTATAGGACTGGTAGGAAATGAATATAAATTAACTGCTTATCAAAAATAAATTAAATATCAAAAAACCGCTTTTCGTTTTTGTAAAGTCAATGAATACAGCATTGGATGACAACAAGTTTAGGGCCAAACGGGCAGTTTGTCTATAGTCTCCTTGTCCTGATCGCTGTCATCCCTGGCCATAATGAGTGTGTGAGCGAAACCGCAGGTCACACGGTGTGTGTAAATGCCTTCCATAGGCTTCACCTCTTGGGGTGTCGTCGAAGACTTGGCTTTATTCTCGCCGTAACCCAATTCGCCTGTCGTTTCACGCATTCATTATAAACACAATCTCAAGACATATACCGGTGTAGAGAGACATACCGTATGTGGGCGACGGTCCCCATGAGATGAGGCTCTCATCGGCGGCCACGACAATGGATTTGTTGGCGCAACCAATTGCGCGCACATTCCAGCCGTTCAAGTCCTGTACGTTCTTGGGATACATCGTCGCCTCTCCCGAAGACTTATTCTGTCCCCAGAAGTACAGCAAACCGTTCTCATCGATAGCCATCGAGAAGGTTCCGCCGCAGAAGATGTGCTTCACTCCACGATTCAGCGAATCGAATGTCTTTATATTCCTCGGCATCAACTCATCCTTTGTCTGACATTTCGTATATTATGTTCACAATTAAGAAACAATTCAATGAATTAAGACAACAAGTGTCACAACAAACCTCTGTGTGTCCTAACCGTCCGTAACCACCGAAGCCCCACGAAAAGCACCTCTTTTTACGGTCGACAGCCAGTGAGTGATTGACACCACAGGCGACCTCTTCAATGGAGACGTCTTCGAGCGGAAGTATATGTCCTTCACGTGTCTTCTCGATAAAGAAGACCAGTTTTCTGGGCGTCAGTTCGCACCGGTAGGCGAGCTTATTGCCCGACGCGAAGTACTTGCCTTCGCTGTTATGGCCTATAAATCATTCAAACGCTCACTTAATTCACTTTCGAGACAATTATGCAAATCATGCCATCAATCAAGTCATACAACAATAACCAATTGTTTTTGTAATGGGTTTAGAATTTCATACAAAAGAAATTGTTTATGAAATCAAATCACTTAAAACAACAAATGTCTGAAATAACATATCTTTGATAAGACAAAAACCTACAATTGACTCAAAACTAATCGCATTTTACAATTGATTTGCTGTCAGATAAATAGACTGAAGATTAAAGGATTTAACGATAAATGAATCTAATCATCAAATGCTATGATTCATAAGTTATCAAATAATAAATGAGTGGAAAAATGAATGAAATAAAGAGATGTTTGGGGAATGATAAGCACAGGTTCGCACACAAATTGAAACACAGACCTAACTGTCCATATTCTGGAGAACCAAATGAGTATAGGTTTCCGACGGCGTCCAAAATCATACTGAACTCCGCGCCGCACGACATCTTCACGATTGGCTTTCCTTTGTATAAGACCTGAGAAGGCAAACCACATTCACAACACATTTAACCACTGGTTATATATATCAAGGACATACCCGCGAGGGAACCATAACCGACTGGCTCTGAGTGCCAATACCCAACTGTCCCATCTTATTGTCGCCGCACGCAAACACCTGTCCCTTAGATGTGAGGAACAGAGTGTGCGATCGGCCGACAGCGCCGCCAACAATCTGATGACTGGACAGCCCCTCGACGAGCGTGGGCTCGTTGCGAGTCTTGACATCCCCGTGACCTAACTGTCCCTTGTCATTGCGACCCCATGTCATGGCCTTTCCCTCGTCGGTGATGATCATGGAGTGGCAGGCCGTACACGAGGACACCAGCGCTCGCACTCTGTACGGAGTCTTATGCGGTGACCACAAGTTTTTGCCTATAATTCAGTCATAGGTTTAGTATAAAACAGACGAAAAAAGGCATAAATTATATGACAATAAAAATAATCGCATAAATGGTTAAAACGGAAGTTGACTACAAAAATGCCGGCATTTATGACACAAAAATACATTTATAAATAAGTGATTCAAAATAGGGTTCAAATGATCAGCATAGGTGATAGTGATCATACCCGGAGCAGTTTGGGCGGCATTTTTGGCCGCTTTGGGCAACTCTTTGCGTCCAATGAGATCCCAATTGGTTCCGCCGCACACCAGTAGCCGACCCGACAGTTCCGGCAGTTTTGGCTGAAGCGCCACATCGTCGGTGCCGTTGTCTTCATCCAAGTGGGCGTTGGATCCGTTGTTGTCCTTAAAGACCGAGTGATTACCATCTCCTTTGGCACCGGAATCGCTATCAAAGTCGTCGCCCGACGACGAGAACGAGTCTCTCTTCTTCCTCTTCTTCGAGTTGTCACCACTTTTTCCTTTACCTTTTGTCGTCCTCTTCTTCGGCGGCATTGTGTGTCACCGAAACGGATCCCTTTGAGCGCCGCTTATGAAGTCAATTGATGGTCGGATTCAGTGAGCGATCAAATGGTTCGCGATTTGCAATGAAATGTATTTTTCACTCAAAAAACACTTTTCAAACAAAAGGAGATTTGAGGGGATGTTATGGTCCCACAGATGGCTCTCACCTCACGTCCATTTCCCGGCTTTTTTGCATACATTTTGTCGACATTTCAGGTTTCGGACAACAGTTCACTAATTTTATAATCCGGGTCTATATTAACATTGAATTAAACATGGTCAAACCAGTTTAGAAATTATTTTATAATAATTACAAACATTTGTTTTTTTTATAATTTACTGAATTTTTAATGAGTTTTATATAAAATCTAAAATTATAACCAAAAACTTAATGTTTTTACTATTTAGTATTCAACTATCTATTTGATGTATGTTATCTCAACAATTTAGTACTTTTATATTCAACAATGTTTGTATTGTTCACACAGAAGTCATTATAATAAAAGGTTCCAATACTTATAAATGATATGACCTAGATAAAGTTTATTATGTTTAATGTGACACAATCAAGTGTTACGTCAATAGTTTTTGAATTCAAATTGTTTTCAAAAGCTTTCAAACTTTGATGAAATGGATGACTAAAACTTGTCGGAAGCGCTCATTTGGTCACTGCTTCTGGAAGTGTCAATACAATGGGTAAACGGAAGGGGAGGAATGGATTCTTCAAGTTCTTAGTCCACAAACAGAATCAGCTCAAGAGAGAGGGCAAGAACTTAGGTCTCGATGCGCCCGAACTCCAGTCCATCGCCGGCTCCCAATGGAGTGGTATGTCATCATTGGATCAGTTGTTTATTAGTTCTTAGTCCACAAACAGAATCAGCTCAAGAGAGAGGGCAAGAACTTAGGTCTCGATGCGCCCGAACTCCAGTCCATCGCCGGCTCCCAATGGAGTGGTATGTCATCATTGCTAGTCAACAAATATATTACGTTAACAGAAGAGCACAGGCTGTCGCTACAGTTTCGTTCTCTCCCTTGGCAAACTTGTCTTCCGCTTCTCGAGTCAGAGTCAGACCATTGCAGTGACGCCCAGACCTCATAACCAAAGGGCCGACCCTTTGGGCCGAATAGTCGCCAACACTTCCAATGAGATCGACGACGACTGCGGACGTGAGGAGTACCGCGAGAAGATGGTTGAGGCGTGCGGTACTCGGGATCAGCTGATGAACGCCTCGTTCTTCATTGTGGCCACGAATGTCATGTGTGAGACACAACAGGCGGAGTTCCCGCCCCTCGACTATCCGTAGACAGTCATGAGATAGCGAAGCCCGTAATTTAAGTCAATAGTACTCAAGTAACTGCGGCCTTTTCACGGGAATCCAAAGTATGAATGGTAATCAAAATGGCAAACAAGTGAACAAAATCGAATGATTTTGTTTGTCATTCGAAGGATACATGCATTCCGCCAAAGAACACGCTGACAGGACACATCGGATCCCTTTGAATGGCTTTAATCTGTCTACGAATAACTACAAGAAGTTAGTCGAAGACATGAAACAAATCCTCGAAGAGTCGAGATTTACGAACCAAATGACGGGAAAACCGACGCCAATGTTGGTCTTCTGTCGCGAGGACGCCATCGAACAGAACAGAGGAGTCTTTCAGTGGTTGCAACAGAAGTACAATGAGATCATGAAAACCAGCTTTGAATGGGATCTCGAAGTTCTCGATTTAGTGCTACTCTTGTACTACATCTCCAAATCTGGCGGACACACCATATCTATGGCGGCCGGAGAGGGTATGTCCTGATGTGTGTCCAATAGCTTACATGCAATTCATGTTATTTTATGGTTACTTCACTACAGGCGCAATGAAATCCTCGGTATATGATTACGCCATTCATGATTTGTGTGAATATCACAAGGATTTAGATAATAAAGAGTGCGCCAAAGGGTTAGCCCGACGGCTCACAAAGTACAATAGCCTACACAACACGAGATACAAACCGTATTGAGGGTGAGTTTTAGTAAACGGCGAGTTTCAGCTTCAGTTGCGGCTCTGTATATGCCCACATGAAGTGCTACACTTCGTTAACGCAGCGAATAGATATCATCAAAATGTGGGAACAGATAACAGTCAGTGGAATCCTAATCAAGACATGGCTGATGAGGAGGAGGCGAACTCACCCATACCTCAGACAGGCATTGGTCGCGGACGGCCTAACGCCTCGAAACCTCAGAATAACCCATTTTAGCATTTATTTTATTATACTGTACTGTATATTGAGTTTTATTTCTAATGTTATAATTTTATTTCATGACTTCAAGTTTTTAGACACTTTTCCTCATTTTAGACTAATTTTATTTGTACTTTAATTATCGTAAATGAAAAGTATTTATTATATTCTGAATTTAGCATATTAATAAAATATGGATTAATTTTCGGATATTAATTTTTCAAACTAACTTACGGTTTTGAAGAAAACTGTGTAACAAACAGTGAAAACCGGCATTAAATAGGGCAAAAGAATTGATAAGAATTTCTGTTTGTTTGAGAATTTTCTGGAAAGCATTGAATGATTGACTGAAAGCCGACTCAAACCACAGACACAGACGTCTCACTCGAGTCCACACATCCATACCTTCACCACAAAGACAATGACTGACATCGAGGTGGACAACAACGCGGCGCACGGCGTGACCGGCGATGAGGACATCGACGACCACTCCATGGATGGAGAGCTCATGAAAGAGACGGACATTTCGCCACAAAAAGACGGGAAACTCGTGAAACAGATCATCAAAGAGGGCAAAGGTTTGACACATCGACCACCGCTTTATCACTCACTCATAGCCGGTGTCTGTTGTGACCCATAGGTTGGGATAACCCGAAGAATGGCGACAAAGTGATGGTTCACTACACGGGACAGCTATTGGACGGAACGGTATTCGACTCTTCGCGCGACCGAAGGGAACAGTTCTCCTTCACAGTGGGCGCCAAACAAGTGATAGAGGGCTGGGATGTGGCCGTCAAGACCATGAAGAGGGCAGAGGTCGCGAAGTTCACGATTGCGCCACAACTGGCTTACGGCGAGACCGGCGCCGGACCTAAGATACCGCCCAACGCGACGCTCGTCTTCGAGATCGAGCTCTTCGATTGGAAACTCGAAGACATCACCAAAAAGAAGGATTCGGGTGTTTGTAAGCGTATTCTCGTCGATGGCGAGGGCTATGAGACACCAAACGTCGGTTAGTATTGATTATCGCTATCGCTTGCAAACGCCAGTATATTGACGTGTGTTGTGTCTGTGGGCTACCGGTGCTGTCAGGGGCTACTTGTGATATCCTATTGGTGGGCAAATACGAGGGCAAAGTGTTTGAACAGAGGAATGTGACGTTTTTCGTGGGCGAGGCCTCGGAGGAGGGTTTGGTGGACGGCGTAGAGGTGGCCGTCCGTAAGATGAAGAAGGGAGAGAAGTGTGAAGTAGTGGTGAAACCGCAGTACGCCTTCGGAGCCAACGGGCGCCCGGAGCTCAACATTCCGGCCAACTATGAGGAAGTGGTCTTCGAAATCACGTTAAATGCGTTCGAGAAGGCGAAGGAGACCTATCAGATGGACAACGCGGAGCGCGTGGAACAGGCGGTGCTCGTCAAGACCAAGGGAACCAAATACTTCAAAGTTTGTCCCCTTTTTGCACCACTTTTGGTGATATTTTTGCAGAACTAATGTGTTTTTTGTTTCAATTATACCGTAAATAGGAATCGAAATACAAGTTAGCGATCAAACAATACAAGCGAATTATCCAACTGTTAGGCCCTCCCGACGACTTCGAGGGCGAGCTTAAGGCTCAGAGCAACGAACTCCTCTTAGCCGGGTATCTGAACCTCGCGATGGCGTACCTGAAGGTCGATAACTACGGCGACGCCATCAAGAACTGCGAGAAGGCGTTGGACATCGACGCCAACAACGAGAAGGGGCTCTTCCGCAGAGGACAGGCGTATTTCGGGCAAAAGGACTACGACTTGGCCCGCAATGACTTCAACGCCGTTCTCCAATTGGATCCCAACAACAAAGCGGCCAAAAATCAATTGGTTTTGTCGTTGAATGCAATTAAAGCCCAATTGGAGAAAGAGAAGACCACTTATCGTAATATGTTTGAGAGGTTCGCCAAACAGGACCTCAAAGTAAGAAATGTTGCTCTTTTTGATACTGTTTTCAAAGCTATGGTAGGATTGATTGTAATGTTTGGTGTGTTTTGTGCTATAGAAAGAGTCAAAGACGAAGGAAAGCAACGGATCCGTTGAGAGCAAGAAAAATGCCAAAAACGAAATTGACGACAGTCTCAGTGAAGTGGACATCATTAGCACCGATGCGTCCAATTAGTCACCAATTGATTAGTATTTGTGTCTATTTTATACTTTTTTAACGATAATTTATTCCCGAATTTATATAAATTTTTTGTTAATTTTAAATTTGTTTCTGTTTTACTACAAAATTAAATTTTGTATTCAAAACCAGTAAATACTTTCCAAAATGCAGTGTATATTCATATTTGATTAGAAATAGTTGATATTTTATGAAATTTTGTATAACTTTTTTACTTACTTATAGTCTACTCTAAAAAATTCTGCTTAAATTATCTCTAAATATAAAGTCTGATTTATTTTATTTAATAATAAAACTAATATTAATAAAAACAATACCTAACAGTAATAAGTGATTTGCAAAAGTACTGTATTTCATAATTTTCATTAATATATTTATCGTAAATAAATAAGATTTGTAAAGTGAATATCCGTATGTTCTCAACTGTATTCTAATCAGTAGTACTGTATTTGCAACATTTATTCAATTTAATAAAATTATATTTAAAATTATTATAATTAAACTAAATATTTATAATTTGAGACTACAGTACAGTACTTATTATTTACGGAAGAGTTCAATTCAATACAAACTAACATTTGTATTAAATGTTGTACGGTAGTACAGTCTACTTGATGGTATTTTCCTATACCTATACCTAAACATAAATCTTTTAAAATTAAAATGGGTTTTGTTTTAAATATTTCCTAATATTCTTTCTCATGTTTAGTAAACAAATAAACACTAGTTTCTCATGAAATGTGAGTCAAAATAATAGCGAAATTAAATTAAATTAAATGNCAATGAGATCGACGACGACTGCGGACGTGAGGAGTACCGCGAGAAGATGGTTGAGGCGTGCGGTACTCGGGATCAGCTGATGAACGCCTCGTTCTTCATTGTGGCCACGAATGTCATGTGTGAGACACAACAGGCGGAGTTCCCGCCCCTCGAGATAGGCATCTGTCAGTACTCTATCGCTTCGGGCATTAAATTCAGTTATCATGAGTTCATTGACGCCGGAAAAGTGCCCTTAGGTTTCATACTTACCATTAGTTTTACCGTTTGTTCACTTGTTTTACGAATGATTTTGTTTGTCATCCGAAGGATACATGCATTCCGCCAAAGAACACGCTGACAGGACACATCGGATCCCTTTGAATGGCTTTAATCTGTCTACGAATAACTACAAGAAGTTAGTCGAAGACATGAAACAAATCCTCGAAGAGTCGAGATTTACGAACCAAATGACGGGAAAACCGACGCCAATGTTGGTCTTCTGTCGCGAGGACGCCATCGAACAGAACAGAGGAGTCTTTCAGTGGTTGCAACACAAGTACAATGAGATCAACAAAACCAGCTTTGAATGGGATCTCGAAGTTCTCGATTTAGTGCTACTCTTGTACTACATCTCCAAATCTGGCGGACACACCATATCTATGGCGGCCGGAGAGGGTATGTCCTGATGTGTGTCCAATAGCTTACATGCAATTCATGTTATTTTATGGTTACTTCACTACAGGCGCAATGAAATCCTCGGTATATGATTACGCCATTCATGATTTGTGTGAATATCACAAGGATTTAGATAATAAAGAGTGCGCCAAAGGGTTAGCCCGACGGCTCTGTTTCATGTTATCGGATGTGTTGTGCTCTATGTTTGGCATAACTCCCACTCAAAATCATTTGCCGCTCAAAGTCGAAGTCAACGCCGAGACATATACGGGTGTACTTCACGATGTGAAGCAATTGCTACCGAATAGATATCACCAAAATGTGGGAACAGATGACAGTCAGTGGAATCCTAATCAAGACATGGCTGATGAGGAGGCGAACTCACCCATACCTCAGACGGGCATTGGTCGCGGACGGCCTAACGCCTCGAAACCTCAGAATAACTCATTTTAGCATTTATTTTATTATCATATACTGTACTGTATATTGAATTTTATTTCTAATGTTATAATTTTATTTCATGACTTCAGGTTTTTTAGAAACTTGTCCTGTTTTTAGACTAATTTTATTTGTACTTTAATTATCTTAAATGAAAGCATAAATAATATAAGACTTAAATCGTATAATTATTTTATACCTAATTAAAAGCCTATAATTAAAAAGTTTGATTGAATGCCAAAACTTCTTTTGACACATTGTTTGTCACTTTTGGCCGTAATTTAT